TGTGCAATCTGGGTGAAAGTTTCAGAGCAAATCGGTCTTCCTTTCCACAATGCATCTACACTTTTGTTTGATACTGATTTCAGCCCTCCCTGTGTACCTCGTCCCTGCCTGCCCTCTGAGCTGCCCCTGACCCCTGCCCTCGGTTGTGGACCGCTTTGTGGTGTGACTGCTCTGCAAGTGGGTGAGTGACTCAGGGCCAGGGTCCTGCGTGTGTCTCCCACCCCCACCCCCCAGTCTCGCTCAGACTAGTCAGCCGTCTTTTGTGACTGAGTTTGATCTTCAGCTCTCTCCCCTCTCCAGGCCCTCCCACCAGGGTCCCTTTCAGAGAGGTGGGCAGCAGCAGCCAGGCACCATGTAGCAGGAGTTTGGGACTCAGGACCCTAGTCCTCGACCTCTTACTTCCTTGTTGCTTTGATTGTCTTGGCCCTTCTCTGTACTGTCGGGGAGAGATGTGGAGAGACCAGACATTGTCTCCCCACCCCCAGGGGCCACGCAGCAGGCCAGCCGTACATTTGTATAAAACTAGTTTGTGCCTCCTTTTAGGAGAAGGTGTTTTTTCAGTCTGATGGGGTCCTAGCTCTCCTGGGGGACCCTCTGTTAAAAAGAATGGAGGGGACTTGGGATAATCCCCTACAGAACACTCACCCCCTGTCAACGTCCCCTCCTTTGAAGGGCTGCTGGTGCCTGGGCCCTGGGGTTGAGCAAGGGCTTTGCTCTGCTGCTGTGTGCAGTGGCTGGGAAGGGCCCCCCTGGAAAGGGGCCGGGGCCTGGAGCACCCCCTCTGCCGCCCCCCTCATCCCCCGCCCCCGGGCCAGTGTGCTTGGAAGTTTGCGTGGCCTTACCTGCTGCCCCGTAGGAGCTGTCCCAGGGAGAACACCCTCATTGGGGGAGTTGGGTGCTCCTGGAGGTGAGCACTGGAGGTTGGAGGTGGCCACCTGGACTTGACCCTGGCCTTTAGTGAGGACTGGGAGGGAGTGTCCTGGCCCAGGTGGCCTGGGAGCAGCCCAGGGTGTCATTCACACCACCCTAGAAGCTTGCCTTCCCGAGTTTGGGGAGGTGGGGTGTGGGGTTTGACGGGCCTGGCTTTGCTAACCAGTCTGCACACGTCATCCCTGAACCTAGAATCTGGTCAGGACACTGAAGGTTAGATTCCTGTCTGCTGGCTCCCTCCCTACAGAAGTGGGACTGCCGGCCTCTGCATCAGAGGCCACAGAGTGGGGGGCCACAGGAAACCCCTCCCGCCATGTCACAACTCGCGTGAGGCTCCAGCACAGACACATGTCCATGGGTGTCTGCTCCCCAGTCTCTCTGAGCAGTGTGGATGCCCTGGGGATGCGAGCCCTTAGGTCTCCCCTGCCATGTGTGGGCCCACCCTGGCTGGCTCCACTCCCCCTTGGTACCCTGCTGCTTCTGAAGCAGGTCCGTTCCCTGCCCTGCGCCGGGTGGTCTCCCATGAAGTAGAGTTTGTCCTCACTGCTGCTGGGTTTAGGCCTGGCGCAGCAGCCCGGTCCAACTGGACAGAGTGTGTCAGGCTCTGCACCATCAGGATGGCTGGGGGCCAGACACTGCTCCCTCCAC